TTAGAGACCATTTCTTTTGATGAGCAGAAGCTTTTTAGTTTTATGAGGTCCCATTTATCTATGCTATCTCTTAGTTGTTGTGCTGCTGGGGTTCCACAGTGAAACCCCTTTGTACAATTCATGTACACTAATAAAGAAGAGAAAAAAGAAATCTGAAAGTGTTCTGAATATACTATGTGAAGCTGTCCTGGGGCTAAGAGTTGGGTCTTCTGAGGGGACATCTTTGTAGGTGGCATCTTTTACCTGTCCATTTTTCAGCTTGGATAATGTTCTTCATACTGTACACCTTGCCCATGTAAGACAGCATGCTAGGTATAGGGTCTATGGCTGTGGTTGGGGCTCTCCTGAATTCTCCTTCCATACTCTAATAGGTCTTTTTGATGTAGCGCTCCCTCCAGCTTTCCATTCTGTGACATCACACCATCTGGGATGCTTTGCCCTGCTTACCTCTTTCAGTCAGACCTGGTTGGTTTGGTTTGAGAATTGTCCTGGGTACTGCAGTGCCATACATCTTTGGAGGAATTAACTTCTTGAAACAGGACGTTCCATTTTGGGTTCTGTACTGTTAGCTCTTGCTTATTTGACTAGGAGCATTTTCTCTGCATGTGAAAATGTTTGTAGATACAATTCATGTAAATATCCTATAATTAAGTATGTTTGATTAACATTGTATTCTGTTATTGTTCATTTTCTTGTAACATTAAGTGATAGGTTGTTCTCTGAATACAAACAAAATGTCCACGTCTTTTTTGAGTTGATTTTCATTATTGGTGGCTCCGTGTCCATCTGCATTCCTTCTGGTAGACAGTGGCTTGTTATATTTGGGCAAAAGGTGCACTGCATGCCATCTTACCTTCACGGGGAGCTGATATCTGGCACTTAAGCACTGATCATCTAGTGACGAACCGTAATTGCACTGTTATGGTAGAGTTATTGACTGATCCTTTTTGAACATTTCATCACATAGGTTTCACTCTCTTGGGTGTGCTTATTTGTTCTGTTTGGCAATGCCTCTTACTCTTTTTCCTTAGCATTAAAATAACATTACTGCTAAGTCATTGTGATTTTAACTTTTTGTTTGTAGTGCTACTCAAAGCTGAAGTGGTAGTGACACATCCAAAGCTACTGAGTATGTCATCACCAGTATCAGTAGCAGTTGTCATCAGTGAACCCTGTTTTTCATCCTGCAGGCCAGGATAGGCACAGCCTAGCTGAAATCCTGGCCAGATAGGAAGAGATCACTTGGACATCTGGGTTGGGAGTGGGGTGGGGTTTCTCTGTGAGACAGCATAGCTCAAGAATCAGCACTTGAGATTTATCAAAGTTTTTATATTTATTTTTACCATTTTCATAATTGATAGCCATAGACGAAGGAAAACAACATACATTTCACAATTGCTGAGGCTTTTGTGTTACTCTAAGGTTGGCTCATGTTTCTAGTTGTTACAAAACAGGTGATGAACCTGGAAAGGTAAGGGTAGAACACACCTTTGCCATCTTTGGTCATCCACACAGGCTCTCAGGAGTGCAGGAGTAGATGTCTTGGATTCTATCTGGTACTCTCCATGCTAAGCTGAACCAGGGAAAAGATTGAGAATAGTTGTAGAGATCATCATGAAGCCATGCTTCTGTGGATCTGTTGTATGTGTGACAATGACAAATGAGAACTGTGGTTGGTCCTTCACTTGGCTCTTTAGCTGTGGGAGATCTAGATATTTTTTTCCCCAGGCCCCATTGTCACCTGGTGTGTATTCTAAAAGGGCTTTTGGGTCCTGAAGAACAGAAACCACTTAAGCCAGCTCAAGTAAAAAGAGTTATTGAAAGAATCAGGGGAGATAGGAAGAAATCCAAAGATGAGAGGCCTAGGTGAGCCTTAAAGGGACTGCAGCCAAGGGTGACAAAGCCATCCTTTCTGTCTCTGGGGCCCTGGTGGTATCCTTTGTTGTCTCCATGAGTCTCTGTCAGTTCCCTGACTCTGCAGGCTCAGTATTTATTTCTTCACAGCTTTGACTTGCACAAGGTTTTGGCCTCCCAGGCACTACCTTTGTCAACCACCTTCTGTGAACCTTACTCCAGTCCCAGCTCCAGGTCCCTAGTTGCCTTTTTAGCCTCTAGTGACTCAATTCCACATTCCAGAAGGAGTATCTGCTGCCCAGGGCAGCCTGATGGAGCAGAGGCTGGGGAGACGAGTCACTGGAGAAAGTGTGGGTGTGTGGTTCAAGCTTCTGCCCAGGGTTTGGAGCAGAGGATGTCAGCATAGGAGGTGCTCAGAGCTTTCATGTAACCTTTCTGAGCTTCTCAACTTTATATCTGTGTGACTAGGAGGTTTCAGGGGGTCTCCTGTTCTGTTCCCCCGCCCCCACCACCACACATCTGTTAATCTACAATGCTGCTGGTCTGTGTTGTCTTTACAGGAAGCAATGCCTGTGTGCCCAGGCCATGCAGCCTGCTGTGCCTGCCCAAGGCCAACAACAGCAAAAGCTGCAGGTGCCCAGAGGGTGTGACCAGCAGTGTCCTCCCCTCTGGGGACCTAATGTGTGACTGTCCTCAGGGTTATCAGCTGAAGAACAACACCTGTGTTAAAGAAGGTGAGTCCTTTTTACTTTCCTGCCCTCTTTCTCCTTCCCTACTTTCTGCCTCCCTCCCATATCTGCATAACCTTCCAGGTTTTTGAACAAAGTCCCAGGTAGAAATGAAATCCACTAGATAGTTAGGAACACTGAAGGCCCATGGCACTTCAGTGCCCACTCAGAACAGTCCTGAGTTGTTCATGTGAAAGTAATTGCTGTGCCTTTTAGTTTAATGTTAAAACAATGCAGGCTTTCTTCATGGTCTACCATGTTTTCTTCTGCCTCTTCCTTTCCTCACTTACCCCTCACATCTAGGTTCTCCAACTTCTCCTGCTTCCTATGAATTGGAGCAACCTACCTTGGAAACCTAAATGGCTTGACTACCTAAGAGTCAACTGCTCTCACCCAGGAGTCTTCTGTCTGTCACCCCCAGCCCAAAATGACCTAAACTTTCAGATCAAAATTTGCAAAGTTGATTTCCAAGCCAGAACTAAATGGCTGTAGTAGCCTTGTCTCCAGCCCCTTTGAATTTGAATATGTAGATTTAAAATCTGAAAAGAGAACTGTTTCTTTTGGGTTCCCCACCCCCCCGCCTGTCTTTTTCCCTCCTTGCCACTTCCCCAGTCCCCAGCCTCATATTTCTGTCAATGAGAACTTCTGGAATGCGGACTTGCCGTGAAGTGCCTGGATTGATGGCAGAATTCCTGCCTTTCCTTATTCCCCAGGTCATGTTTGCTTTGTAATCCTAACCTCACTACTCACAGCAGCCTCTGGGGCCAGGGCAGTGAGTGAAGTACACAACAGAAGCCTTCTAGTCCATCTTCCTTAAGAAACACAAATGGAAAAAAGATGAACCTTCCTGCCTTAGAAACAGGAGACTTCCTTTCAGACTCTGAATGACATCTTAATGCTATTTGGAAAGGAATTGAGTTCACAGTACACTCTAGGAGGAGGGCAAAGGGGCTTTGATTATCTAAACATGAGTCTGGCATCATGTGTCCTTGACCTAGTATGTATTTTCTGTATAAGTTCTTGCTTTAAAGGAGTCATGGGGTGGAAGACATTCACTTAGTGAAATCTTAGTAACCCATACAGTTATTAAGTTGAATATATATGGACATGTAATAGTATATAACTATATATGTCTTCTCTCAGTATCTCCAGGGATTGGTTATAGGAGTTCCTTAGGTACTGAAATCCATGGATACTCAGGTCCCTTTATGTAAAACTGCCCAGTATTTGCCTATACCCTAGACACATTCTACTGTGTACATTATCTAGATTACTTACAATACCCAGTACAAGTAAATGCTGTATAAATAGGTGTTATATTATATTATTTAGAGAGTAATGATGGGGGGAAAGTTTGTACATGTTAAGTACAGATGCAATTATTTTCCTCAATATTTTTGGTGCATGGTTGGTCAAACTTATGAATATGGAAGAGGTACAGACAACTGACTTTATGTATAATACAGTGATAGATGTATTGAATTTGTATGTTTTAATACTATGTAGGCACAGTCCATGGAAGAGTTGCTCATGTGATTAGAATTTCCTTTTGCTGATTACAGTGTTTGCTACCCATAGACTGGTGCTATCATTATCCTTTTTCATCATTGTAGCCACCTCTGAATACTTCCAGTTTGTCTCTTCTCCTGCAATTTTAATTTAAAGATGAAAGAAGGCAGCTCCTGGGATTGCTTCCTTCCTTGTATGTACGTGTGCCTGCATCTCCTTTACCACCTACAGCAGAATGTTGTTGGAGGATGAGAAATGGAAACTCAAAAGAGAAAGTCCTTGGTCTAGTGGTAAAAATGATATGTTTCATTTCCTCCCCCCCATGTTTAGAGAACACCTGTCTTCGCAACCAGTATCGCTGTAGCAACGGGAACTGTATCAACAGCATTTGGTGGTGCGATTTCGACAATGACTGTGGAGACATGAGTGATGAGAGAAACTGCCGTGAGTCTTCTGGCATGGCTGAGTTCTCGGGATGTTAAGTGTGCACCAGTGTTCAGAAGGCGGTTTGACTCCCCGTGTAGTTTAGGGTGCAGGCCACCCACTACTGGTGATGTCCATTTCAATTGATAGGACTTAGATAACAGAGAAAACCCGTTTCCATATGCAAATATGTTAGCTATATGGTACCCTGTGTTACATATATATCTGAATCCTGAATACATACTATCTATATGGTGTCCTGTGTGATGTATGTACATGAATCGAATCATGTAACTAAGTTGACTGCTCATTACAAGAGACTTAGAAATAAACATCTCATAACTTAGAAATAAACATCTCATAGCTGAAATTGAGCTGACTTGTCATCTGGTTTCTGATCTTGGCTTTAGCACTGTAATAAAGTGGTGACTTGGGTTGATGACAGGTGACATTCTTTGATTTTTAAATTCAGTATTCAGCCTTTACAGTGATTAGTAACAGGTTTCACCTTTATGCTACTCCAGTTAGTTGACGTCAGCTGCCTGTTGGGCTCAAGAGAGATTGTTATAATTGGTCAGTAATGCTACTTTGGCCTACACTGTGGGGTGTTCATAGGTATGCCCTAGCACCTTGATCTCTGTACTGAATAGTTTCTAAGGTTTTACTAAAGTAGGTAACTCTGTTTAGCAGGATTTATAGAACAAACCACTTATTCTTAGCTATCCTTTATGTAAGTGTTAGTAGCTTCACTATTACATTGTAAAGGAAGACTTTGTCCTTTTGTCAGTCATACATTCACTCAACAAGTGTTTATGGAGCACCTACTGTTTTAGGCTCTGTGCTGGGGTATAGGTGGAATCAGGAGAAGCAAAGAGGCAGTTGCAATGGAGCAATGAGTGCTGGGATGGGGAAGGACCAGATCATGCAGGATCCGACAGGAATGGCACCCACATCAATACGAGCAGGCAGTAATGGAACCCTGAAGGGTGCATGGGGTTTATCAGGCAGAGGTGGAGGGAAGACATTGTGGGCAAATGAGCAGTGTGTGTGGAAGGCAGAGCATCAGGACTTCCGTGGATTATTGAGAATGTGGGTGCAGTGGGACAAGGTGAGGCTGGACAGGTAGGCAGAGCCCAGATCAGCAGGAGCCTTGTGGACTACATCAGAACAGCGATTGGAAACCATTGAAGTACCTTGATAAGATTTTGCCTTTGGAAGGATACATAGTGGGGAGAATGAATTAGTTGCAGAAAGACCAGAAGCAGGGAAGCCAGAAACCAAGCCAGAGGCCTGACTTTGAATCTGTTTCCTTTGGCAACACAGAGGCTAACTTCCCATCAGTAGTTAGGACAGGTTGATGAGTGCCTCTTAATACTTGTGTGGCCCCTAGTGGATGTATTTAGGCATTCATTGTGGAGGAGGTGCCAGGTCCCCATGCTACTTCATCCAGAGTCCAACTCCAGAAATACTCAACTCATTAGGCTTGCCTGGGCCTTGGAGTACTATGTCCTGCTCCTTTGGACTTGTGGATTGCAGATGAAACCCCTTCTCCCTTCATTTTTCTTTGGCCTCAGTGGACGTTTTTCACACCAGGAAAAAGAACATACTGACTGGCAGGTTTGGAAGGGCACAAGCCGCTCTGCCTCTTTCTTTGGGACACTGATGAAGCCTTCTCTGCCTATCAGATTTATAGGAAGGTGTGATGTTTGCAGGAGAATAGCCAAAGCTTGTTCAGAATGATAATAAATATTACTCATAGCATGCAGCAGATAACGTGGTGACGTTACTGTGTATCAGGGTGGGGAAAGAGGTGTTTCTTAGAATTTACCTTTGAGTTAATTCTAAGAATTAGGCAGACATAATTAGGCAGAATAGAAACAGAGAGGTACAAACTAGATGACCTCATGTCCAGTAGCGAGGGGCACAGCCTCGTTTGGTGTGAATGTCATTTGGGGTTGACTTTCATGAGCCCCCAGACCTGTTTATTGCTTACTCCCAGTTCCACTTGGCCCAGGTCCTCACATGTCAGATGTGATGAGGGTGAGGTGATGAGGAATACAGGGATTTGAAACCACTTTCTTGGGAACCAAGACAGAGGGGTGGCTGTGCCTGCACATGTGTCTCCTTGTCAAGAAAAGACATGCTTATTCAGATAGTGAGTAGCACCCTGTCCACAGGCAGGGCTCCAGGCTAGGGACAGGTGTGTGGGTGCCACAGTATGGGGAGGTGGTGAGGCTCCCATCAGCTGCCAGGGAAGAGAAGAGGAGGGGGCAGGCGACAGGGGAGGGATGTTGTCAGTCTTCTCCCTCCTTCTATAACAGACTCCTCCAGCTGGATGGATGGCAGGCACTGGGGTTTTGACGTGACTCTCCAGCAGTCTTGTCATTTTGCATTCATCCCCTGCCTCCTACATGAGCTCAATTACAGAGAAGAAATGGAACCTCAAATAGGAGCTGCTGGCATGTCTAACAGCAGTGTTGCTGCTGGCATTTCATTTTTCAGCACCTCCCACCCTCTGTCCTGGGATTCTGTTCTGCCACATTGTACCTTACCTGTAAGCCCCTCGGCTGCAGGGGGAGAGGCCTCCTGGCTCCTAGGCTTTATGCATAAGCCAGGAGGCTTCTGTTTTGGAGAGGAGGAAATCTAATTCTGTACTCATTCTGATGCCAGAAGGGCATGAAGCATGTTGAGAAGAGTAGTGACATTTGTTTAGAGCCTATTATCTCTTTGTCCTATTTAATAGGTTCTGGTCCAAGCCTCTTTTCTTACTTATCTTCATAATAATGCTACTTGGTAACTGTTATCTCCATTTTATGGTAAAGGGACACAGACCCAAGTCTCGTCCTTTGACTGTGATTACAAGTGGTTGACTAAATTATTTTACCCACCCTGTTTTTTTGGTAGTACTGAGGTTTGGGCTTAGGGCTTCACACTTGCTAGGCAAGTGCTCTACCACTTGACCCACGCTTCCAGCTATTTTTGTTTTGTTATTTTTCACATAGTGTCTCATGTATTTGCCCTGGCTAATGTGGACTACTGGCCTCCATCATAGCCGGCATGACAGATGTGCACCACCATACCTGGCTTATTTGTTGAGATGAGATATCAATAACTTCCCCCCTAGCCCCCCGGCTTGCCTCCAACAGCTGTAATTCCAGTCTCTGCCTCCTGAACAGTTGGGATTACAGGCATGATCCATCATTCCTGGCTTCTTCTCATTTTACTGTTGAGGAAATTGAGACTCAAGGAGGCTAAAATTAATTGCCTAAGGAAGAGGTAGAGTCACGATTTGATAGCCAGTCTTGACTTACTAAAGACGCACCCCATATTTCAGCTAGGAAATCCTGCCTGGGCATTAGACTCATCATCTGATGCAGCACCAGCTTCTTGTGTGAAATTGGGTTTCCCGAATGGTAGTTTTATAGATAAGGGTGTTACTGTTACTTATTTAGGAAGACATCTTCATGTCTGAAGGAAATTTAGGGCCATAATCCAGCCCCTCCCTCTCCCAGCCAGGTGAAGTGACTCAACCTTTCCAGGCCTAGCTCTGTCTGAAGCTGTCACTGGGCCGATATGCCCTTACCTCCTTTGGATGGGAGTTCCAGGTTCTCATGGAATTCATTTCTTCCATGAAGTCCAGGTTCAGTTTCTGTTGTCGTTGTTAAAGTCTCCTGCCTTCTAGTTTTTGTTTGGTTTTCTAGTGGGAAGTTTATGTCTCGGGGGAATTAACTGTACCTAACAAATAAGATGCCTCTTTCCTATTTCAGCTACTACCATCTGTGACCTAGACACCCAATTCAGGTGCCACGAGTCTGGGACTTGTATCCCGCTCTCCTATAAATGTGACCTTGAAGACGACTGTGGAGACAACAGTGATGAAAGCCACTGTGGTAAGGGGACATTTCAGCCAGAACTCTGATCAGGAGATCACCACCCTTGCTTGCTTGGGCTTGCTAGTGGCTAGGGCAGGTTGAAAATGGAGAGTTTCTGGTTGCCATTTCAGTATCCATGCTCCAGCTGCACAACTGCCCATCTACATGGCATGGCATGTAGTCCTTATAGACCTTATTTGCTGTCTTTCATGAAAATTCAGTTCCTCCGGAAACACTTGACCTAGAGTTAAGGGGATGCTGGATAAAGAAATAAATGGAGCCTCTTCTCAGTTCTAGTCACTTCCTTACTCTTTGATTGGCCTCTTTGTTTTCTAATCTGAAAAATGGGGAGGTGGGTCCTGCTTTGCCTTTTAGAGGTTATAAAGGTGAAATGGGAAAGTAAGACTTAGGATTTCTGAATGAATTAATTGGCTCCTTAATTGCTATAGAAACAGTTAATCTCTCTGAGTGGGGTGAGATTAACCTCGTAAAGGTATGGAGATGTACCTTAGTGAATTTTTTTTTAAACCACTCTAATTCAATAAACTGTTAAAAGTCAACAGTAAGCACTGATTGAGCATCTGCTTTCTGAATGATAATTTTTTTTTTTTGGCAGTACTGGGTCTTGAACTCAGGACTTTACACTTGCTAGGCAGGCCATCTATTGCTTGAGCCATGCCTTCAGCCCTCTGAACGGAAACTTTTATATTTAGGAAAATAATGTGCTCTAGTTGTAAGGAATGGTAGGGATTCTGCAGTCCAGATCTTTTAATTTCCATGTCTAGTGGCTGAGATGCATTTTAATGATATCCTTCGGGGCTATTCAAAGTGACCCAGCTAACTTGTGCTGGAATGGGGAGCTGGGACCCAGGTTTGTTGTGTTGTAGTTCCATACTCTTTCTGCTGCACAGCACTGTCCTGTCACTTTCATGAGCCCTATCGTAGTTAGCAGGCTCTGATCCCAAATTCAGTTGCTGCCCATTGAAGGTGTTATGCAATACACATAGGACACCAGACTGGAGGAGGCTTTGGCTTGAAAGGGAAGTGAGAATGGAGGCCAGACACAGATCCAGACACCAGACATGGTGATGAGTTTGTGTGGCCTTGCCCAGCCTTTGTTCTGTCCATGAGGGTGAGGTCCAGCCATGCCATGCTTGCCCGCAGGGCTTTGTTATAAAGCAGGCGGTCTGACTCACAGGGTCTGAAGTAAAGTGAGCAGGGGCTGCTAATAAAGCATTCAAACACAGGCAAACCAATGGAACACACATTTGGGGCCATTTTCACATAGAAGATACCCTGGCCTTGCTCTGGAAGGAATGGGTTTGGGGTTTTTTTTTTTTTTTTTAGTTCCATATCTTTCTTCCTCAAATGCTACAAAATAAGTTCTTGAAATTCACAACTGCTTTCCCTCATTCTTACCATTTCTTCCCCACTCTCTTAGAAGGTTGAAGCATGTGGGAACCTTGCTCTGGTAGGGAGGGAACACCAGATGGCTCCATGATTCATCTTGCTTCCTCACTAGGCACATGGCTGACCGCTCAACAGTTTCAGCCTCTTATTCTTCATTCATGGCCCATTTCTGCTAGTTGGCCCTGAATCCATCCTAAGCTCCCACTTGGCCCCTTCTCTGATGCAGCTCTTCTTCAGACTCTTCCTTCGTAAATATCTGTTTACCACCTTCACTCTCAGCCTGTTTCTAGGGAGAACATGCTTCAGGCTCCATGCGTGGCTACTCCTGTTTTTTGCAGCTCAAAAAAAAAATTCCCCTTGAAAGTTCTGTGTCAGTTTTTTTCAGATAGAACAAAATACCTTAGACCGAGTAATTTGTAAACAATAGAAGTTTATTTCTTCCAGTTCTGAAGCTGGGAAGTTCAAGATCAAGGCACCAGATTCAGTGTCTGGTGAGGGCCTGTTCCTCACAGATGTCTCCTTTTCTGTGTCCCCACCTGGCAGAAGGGGTGACAGCTCCCTCTTTAGTAAGGTGGCTAATCCTACTCTGTTCACCTCCTAAAGGCCTCACTCACCTTTTGATTTCTCTCATTGATTATTAAGTTTCTACAGATGAATTTTGGGGGACTTGGTCAGACCATAGCATCTGTCTTATCCCCAAAGCCTATGAAAGATGTTGTGGGGAAGTCTCCTTTTATGTCTTGGTCAAGTTACACTTGGCCATTGCACTCAGGCAACCTGCTTTCTAGAGCCAGCACAGCCACTGACCTCACCAAAACTCTGCCCACAGAAAGTCCAGAGTTATGATTCCTCTGTTCTGGAAGCTCAGCACTAATTCTCACTTTCCTTGAGCTGAGTATCTGCCAATGGTCAGCACACATGGACCTCTCGTTACTCCTTTCCTCAGCCATAGGCTGTGTCTCTGGGAGTCTTCTGTTTCTTGAAAATGCTACTCCTAGCTTTCTTCCCATCAGAGCAAGCACATAAAATGTTAGTATTTGTGGAATACACCAGAACAAGTGGGCAACGCTGCTCTTGCCGAGAGTCTGAGGGCTCCAGTATCTCAGCACACCTAGAACCCATTTTCAGCATGATCAGTGGATCTCATTCTCGATGGCCTTATGTCCTGGATAAAAGTCCCTCTGCCCACACTGTCTACAGATAAGCATCCTTGGGTAAAGCTTTCTTTGTCCCCACTATCTGTAGATGATTGGTGATGGATCCATCTCTAAGCCTTAGGACCTGTGATGCCAGAGACAGAATTCTTTGCGACCTTTTGTCCTCACATCTCTATCATCTCACCTGCAGAAATGCACCAGTGCCGGAGTGACGAATATAACTGCAGCTCTGGGATGTGCATCCGTTCCTCCTGGGTGTGTGATGGGGACAACGACTGCAGGGACTGGTCTGACGAAGCCAACTGTACTGGTCAGTACTTCCTAAACTCAATTAACTGTTCATGTACTAGTTAGCATTATGGCTTTACGTGATCGTGGAATTTAGACTCTGAGAATTAGTTTGGACCTTAGCAATCAGCTAGTTCAGTGCTGGTCTATGATAAGGTAAGGAGCTTGTGCCATAATGTAAATTAATACCCTGCTTCCTTCATCGGAAAGTCTTACTAAGAAAAATGCTAATGAAACTAAACAGTGTTCTGAGTGATACAGTTCTCTTGTATTCTGGCTCAATCTTCTCAGTTCTTCAGAACCAATAATAAACAGTTCACAGAATGGTTCCTGGTGTAGGGACCATATTTTGAGTAACACTGAACTAATTTGTGTGTTTCAAACAGAGCATCTGAGGGCTCCCCCAGACGATTAAAATGTAAGCTGTGCTTCTCCCTCTTTGGGATAAGATTTCATTAAAAATAAAGTCAAAAACGTGATGAATGAGAGGGGAATGGTAGGTGGTATAAGGTAAGGGCCATGTCTTTCATGATTATTACATTGTATGAATGAGTCTGTGGTGGCCATATACATTATGTTGGAGGGGGCGGGGGCATCAAGTAGAGCAGAAAGTTGGCACAGTTGTGGAAAAATAAAAGCAAATTCCTTTTAATATCCATGACTGTGATCCTGTATGTTCATATGATTACAATTTTGTCAAAAAATGAAATAAGTTTTAAAATCCCCCAGTTCCATTATGTGATGAGTAGTTTGCTCTGCAACCTTCTGTAGAAGTCTCCATTCAGTTTGGTCCTACGCCCCTTCAGAGTAACCCATGTGCATCACACAGGATGCTCCGTGATGCTACCAAATTCAGGCTCCGAGAAGGTCCCCGTGTCCTTTCTGGTGCAATTCAATATTTGCACCTCCATGCTGGGAAGGCAGTAGGAAAATTCTTTGTATAGGAGCCATGACTTGCAGAGCAGAGAAACCAAGGTTGGCAAAGAAGATACCATCAACTCAGGAAGCATGTGGATGCTGCCTGGGAGCTTGGGTCTTGGATGGATAATTGGTTAATAAATTAGGTGCATTTGGGCATTTCAGTTTGTAAATTGTGGTATGATTGAACATCTTGTTAGTGCAACCACATTAGTCAAACTCAAATTCCAGGAGCACATGCCGGTCTTCCAGAATGAATTAACAATTCCAGGTCTGGTGGGCAGGCTTGTCATAAGCTCCTGGTTTTATCTCTGGTTTTCTTCTGGCAGGGCTCACTGGGGAAAATTGAGAGTTTTGCCATTCAGTTGCAGCCTTCAGTGACTATTTTTCCAATCCTTTTCAAGATGATTCTCTTTTTCATCATCTCAAAATAGAGAATGGTTGTGAGTGCATTGTGATATATGGCATGATACTTCATTTCCTGATCTATTAAATTAAGCCAAAGAAAATAGGTCAGAACCAGCTGCCCTCCTGGGGGGCTCACACACGTGCTCACACACGTTCTCTGTGTTGTCCCTTTTCCTTGTTCTTCTCCCTGATGTTGCTATCCACAAGGCCCTTCAGCCTGCCTTTCATTGTTTTTTAAAGCATACATTTGATTAGCCATTGTTACCATTAGACATTTTATGTGTATTCTTAATATCTTTTTCCTCTCCTAGATATACAAGCACTTTAAATTCCTGCCCACGGTTCCCACGCTAAAATACTTAGTAAAATATTGAGTATTTTAAAGCACTAAATGTTTGGTATTTTAATTTTATATTTTAAAAATCTTAAAATTAGGACTGGTAGTATAGCTCAGTGGTAGAGTACTTGCTTAGCATGGGCAAGGCACTGAGTTCTATTCCTAACACTGCAAAATAAACACAAAATTAGTTATTGTTACTTGAATGATCACATTTACTTATAGGTATGTAACTACTTACCAACTACCTGGGCTTGTATCCAGGGCCTCCTTTGATGGATATCCCTCATTGGTTCTTACAGAAGAGGTCTGAAAGTGCTAAACTCATCCCAGGTTTTGTTAGCATAAACGTATCTTTAACCCTCAATCTTGAATTCAAATGGGTCTGGATTTCCTAATTTATAGTAATTTTCTATAAGTACATTGATAGAATTATTCTGTTTCTTTCTTATCTCTTATGCTGTCAGAATTCTGCAGCTGGATTAGCTATTCAAATAATAACATTTATTTCTCTCCAGTTGCCTTTAGCTTTTGCTGTTATGTAATTTCACCTTCCTAGTGTGTAGTTATTTTTATTTGTCTTGTTTGAGATTTGTTTCCTTTTTGAGATGTGAGGGTTTATATATTCATTAGTCCTGGGTATTAAGCTATGTAACTCCACTATGTCTGTGTGCTACTTCCTCTGGTCTTACCTTCATCAGTTACTTACTTTTAGCCATTTGTTGGACTGCCTCATTGTGTTGCTCATGCCTCCTGTTTTTACATTTGCAGTCTCTAGGTCTCCTGGCTAGGATCTGAATTATTTCCTCAGACTTACCTTCTAGTTCAGCAGTTTTATTTTCTGCTAAATCTAATATGCTATTTCCCACATATTTTGAGCTTTGTTTTTTATTTCTGTGACTATATTTTTTGCATATCTAGAATATGATTTGTCTCTTTTTCAACTGCACCTTTTATTCTTTACTGCTCTTTGTTCTCTTAATCATTAATCATGCATGAGAATTGTTACTGTTTCTTTTTTCTTGTGCACTTCCTAATAGTCCTGTGCTTTGTAAGACACATACTGTTTGATTTGCAAAGGCAATACTTTTTTTTCCTTAGGGTACATAAGTCATATGTTTTACCCTAGTTCTGTTTGGTTAGTGCTCTTGATCAGGTGTTTAGCAGGTATCAATGACTCAGGGAAGGTCAAAGTCAGAGAGTAAGTCATGGGATGATGACCTGTATTAGAAACTGATATTCCATCTCCATGATTGTTTGCCCTATTAACCCTGCCATTCTCACAGTTGCGATGAATCCCATCATGCAAAGAATTCTTTTTCTTCCTCAAATTCTTCAGTATGGATTAAAAGCTACCTCTTTCTTCTTTGTGATTAAAAATTATTTATTTAGCATGCATTATGTACCAGGCACTCAAAACCAGAGTGCAGTAAATTACCCAGAAGATAGAAAAGTCCAGAAAAAGAGGATGTGTTATGTATCCCAGTCATGCCTGGCCCCTTCAGTGCAAGTGTACAAATTTTTATTTATTTATTTATTTATTTATATTCATATGTGCATACAGTGTTTGGGTCATTTCTCCCCCCTCCTCTCTTCCCTCCACCTCCTTGCTACCCGGCAGAAACTATTTTGCCCTTATCTCTAATTTTGTTGAAGAGAGAGTATAAGCAATAATAGGAAGGACCAAGGGTTTTTGCTAGT